AAGCCGGGGAGGGTGGGAGGAGGAAGAAGGGTGAAAACATTTGGGATAGGAGGAGACGGGCAGAAGGAGGGAGTCAGCCCGCCAGCAAGCCTGGGAACTCATCCCTACCTCCTCCTGGGCTTTGGCAAACCCTGAGGCTTTGAGTTCCCGGCCCAGCTCCCCGGGGGAAAAGCACCCCCCACCCCGCCTTTGCAAACCCCACAAGCGGGAGGCGGTCAATCCCATTCCTTCAGCTTCCCGCTGCTCCAGGGAGGGGAGCTGGAGGAATCAGTGGGGAAAATTAGAAATGGGCTTTTACAGAGGTCAACCCACCCTCTTCTAGTATGAGTGGGTCTGACCTGATGCTGCTGCCTGCCCGGTGGTGCTCGCTGCAATCCACCTGCTTTCCTTCCCCAGTGCAGCACAAGGATGCTGGGAACTGCACCGGTCTCATCCCTCTCCCCAGTTATCACAAAGGCTACGGGCACAGAGCAGGGGACCCACAGCACAGCCCCGAAAATGGGCTGAGCCTGGCCCAGCACATCCCTGGAGGTGCTGCCGGTGGAGAAATCATCCCAGTGAAGAAACTACGGGGCATGAGGGACCCGGTGCGCGCAAAGCCAGCATTGGCATCAGACCAGGGATGTACTGGGCAGACGCTGGCACGCCTCGCACCTACCCCTCGCCCCAGGGTATCACCTCCTGCCACCACCCCAGCTCGCTCATCTTAAAACCGGCTCTGCCTCCAGCTCAGCCCCAGGGCAGCAAGACGCAGGCTGGAGGCAGCACCGAGGGCCATGGGCTGGGAGCGTGAGAAGGGACCTGACAGCACCAGGGTGAGGGGGAGCTGGATGAGGCCACGCTGGGATGCGTGGTGGGGCAGGGGGCCCTATGGACCCCCCCCTCCCCACCATGGCAGGGGTCTGTCCCCCACCCCGCTGCCAGCAGTAATTCCCATACCCGTGCGGTATGCGCCCTCGCAGCCGCCGCGAGGAGAATGGAAACATCTGGAAGTCACCCACAAACGAGCGGCGCTCCCAGTTAATGAGGAAATATGAGTCGGAGACCCTGGGCAGCAACAGGATATCAGCTTCTTGTGCGCCGAGCGAGGCACCCCCTTCCCACCGAGCCCCCTGCCTGCCCTCCTTCCCCTGGAAATTTCCCCGGATGGGGCTCCAGCGGCGCTCCCAGAGCCCCATCCCTGGAAATTTCCCAGGAAAGGAGGACAGGCGGGAAGGCAACAAACAGAAATAGCAGGGGCAAGCGCCCCGTCCCCAAACTGGGATGCCCCCGTCACCTTCCCTTGGCTCCCCCCAGGAGCTGGGGAAAGGAAGAAGAGTGATTTTTCTTCTCCGGAGGGAGTCTTGCATCAGCCTCTTTTGGGCATCAGGTCTGTGAGCAGCAGGGGCTGCAAAGCAAGATGGGAGGAAGGACCGAGCACTTGGAGGTGTGGGGCAGAGACTTCAGACCCCCACAGCACCCCTCCATCCCTCTCTCCATCCCTGTCACACTCAGCCACCCATAAGACCTCCTGAGGCAGGAGCACCAGGAAGAAGGGGGGGGCACTTTGCACAGCCCCGTCTTTGATGTTGTAGGAATCAAAGCAAATCCTCAGCTGAGAAGGCTGTGGGGCCACTTGTCTGCTCCCATGATAAGCCCAATGGCCAGTCTTTCTGTAATGGTGAGACTGGTACCGCTGCCTGGGGCACAGGGTTACAGATGGGATGAAAGGCTGGGGTGACTGAAGGTAAATGAGGTAGCCAGGTGTCTGTGGTGATAAGGCTGGGAGGGGTCCAGGTATTAGCTCCTGCCCAGGGCACCCATAGGTGGTACAGTGGCTCTGCAGCACCATCCAGCCCCACAGCCACCTCTCATTTATCAGCTGAGGTGGATAAACAGGCTGGGAGGCATGATTGTACGGATTTGCTTTCCAGGCAGCTGTATATGAAAGAAGGGGGTCTCAGGAGGGTGCAACCCCTGCTAGGGTACAGCCAGAGGGGCCACACCACCTCTGCTCATACCCAGGCAGCCAGAGGCCAGGATGGGTACTGAGTCCTGGAGCTGGCACATACCCTGGAGGTCTCCAAAGCACTTCAGCACCAGCCCCAGAAGGACAAAAGTCACAGCCCAGCTGGCATGGCTGCAAGACCACAAGGTTTGGGGAGGGATGCTGAAGAGGGGGGATTTCCAGCTGCTTTCCTGGAAACAGGGCCCGTCCTGGCCTGGAGCACAGAGATGCTTGGAGCAGGGGTGAAGAGGAGGAGGTGGTGGAGAGCCTGCCACCCCGCGAGGAGTGGAGCGTGGCCCCTGTCCCATCTGGAAGAGATTTGTTCTGCATTCCCCGGCGGAGGCGGCTGCTGTCGCCCAGGCTCCGCTTCCCACCGCAGCCCCCACTGCAGGGCACGGGGACAGGAGTGAGGGGGAGCCCCTCGGGCTGGGGGGGGAAGATGCCCTGACAGGCCATGCAGTTGGAGAAGATCCAAAGAAATGGTCTTTTCCTGCCTCTCCCACCACCCCCATTGGCTTCCTCTGAGCCTGACATGTGGGAAGAGATGCCTACCATACCTCTGGCAAGCAGGGAGGATGCAGGTCAGGATTTCTCCTCCTTTCCCCACTGGTAGCACAGCTCACCCCTCCTCAGACCTGAACTCCTGCCTCCCTCTGAGACGTAGACCCACTAGAAGTACCACCAACACGCACAGTCCATGTGCTCTTAATCCCTAATGGAGAAGACCACCACAGAAGGCAGAAAACCCAACTATCCCATTTCACAGAGGAGAAGCCTGAGGCTGAGACCTGTGTCAAAATCCTACTGCTGCTTAGCAAACCTCTGAGCAATGACTAAGGTGCTCCTACCCAGGCACCCCAGCACGGGCCACCTGAGCCTAGTGAGAAGCCAGGCTCTATTTTGACATCTCCTCTGCAGACATCTTGTCATCCCTTCAGCCAGGCCCTGCTTAACCCCAACAAGCCTCATCTCGCCTTTGCCAGCGGAGACACCTCCCTTCTCCTCCACAGGGCCCTGAATAGGTGCTTGTGCCTGGCCAAGTGTTCCCAAGCAGAGCCACCGAGTCTCACCTGGAGGCCATGAGTGTCACCGTGGCACTGGTGATCCTGTGCCCACCAGCAGGTTGCCCCTCATCAGCAATGATAGGGTCTTCTGCCCTGTGATCATCAAGGGAGAAAGCAATGAAGCACGATGCCAGAGGGATGAAGTGTCCCATGTGTGGGCAGAAACCCTCCCTGGTGCCACCAAGGAGCACCTCCTTGAATTTACCCACCACCACCCCCTCACCCTGGTCTGATGCTGTGCTGCTGCTATGATGCTTGTCCTGACCCCGTAACACTTGTCCTGACCCCGTAATGCCCACCTGGCCCACGCGGCCTTCAGGGAGGCTGTTATCCTGCTAACACTCAACCCAACGCTACCCACAGGCCCTGGCATGACCATGTACCCCCAGACCCCATCCCTAGTTGGCAGCGCTACACGGCAGGCACTGGGGACTTCCCATCCAACGCGGGACGGGATGACCCCCATCTGATACATTCGGGGTCACACACACAGGGGGCAAACTCCTTTCCTTTGCCTCCCGGCCAGGCTCCCCTAACCAGGTTAGCCAGCAACCTGGGCTTCCCCCTTCCCCCAAATCCATTGAAGCGGGTGCCTGGGAGCAGGAGGCAGACGATGCTGGAGGACGGGAAATGGCAGTGGGGAAGCGGGGGGGGTGGGGGCGCGCGGCAGAGAAGTTCCTGAAGTTTTCTGTCCTGGATAGTTGGAATAAATCTCATTTTCTCTGGTCTCCTTGCCGAGGCGAGGATTGGCTCGGCGGTGCTGCAGCCCGCCCTCCTCCTTCCCACGTCCCCTCCCCGCCAGCTTCGCTCCCTCTCTCCCGTGGCATCGGGGCGTCAGCCTGGGAGAGCCAGCCTTGGGGGGACAGCCGTGGGAAAAGGGGGGGCACACCTCCCCTCTCTCCCCCCCTGCTCCAGGACGCAGAGCCGGTAACCCTCAGAGAAAGTTGCAGGGGTGCACGGGAAGCGTCTCCCAACTTTTCGGCCGGAGGACGGGAAAAAAAAATAACAACCGTGGTTTGGAAGAGGTAAATCCTGAAAGTTTTGATTCCTCAGTTTGTAGAGCTGGGGGGGTTTCGGGTGCAGAAGGAAAAGGGTGGAGAGGGTGGTAGGAGAGGGGAGAAGCGGGAGGGGTGGCACGGCGATGGAGACGGGGAGGGTGGCGAAAAAGAAAGGGAGAAGAAGGCAAGAATGCAACAGGAAACCGGGAGGAAGGAAAGCGAGAGCGAGGAGAGGGGAGACAGGCCGGGGGGGGGCCAGGAGAGAAAGGGGGTGAGGAGGGGCTCCCAAGGATTGGGGAAGGCAGCGGGGCACCCCCTTCCCACACCCCGCTCTGGATACCCCTCGAAGCCCCGCAGGCTCTCAGCACC